CCCTACAAAGCCTCACCTTATCATTCTGTCTCTTAATTATTGAAAACAAAACATTCTTTGGGGGAGATGTATTTGCCTGAAATCATCCCAGCTCAATAATGGCTTTAGCTGTTTGTGGCAGCACATTGATGGATAAACACACAGTCTTTGGAGCCCATCTCTCTCAGTTCAAATCCCATCTCTGCCATAACTACCTTTGTGATCACAACTGAGGCATGCTCTATAAAACAGAGAGAGCAATAAGAGTATCTACTTTAAGGAGGAGGAATTTTATTAGCTTCTTTTCTATTTATTTTATTGAATAATGTATATAAACTTAGTGATAGTTTTCTTAAGTGTTTATTATGTGCCAGACCCTATTTTAAGCACATGATGTACATTATCTTATTAATCCCATGACTTTGTAGAGGTTACTACTCCCACCATTGTACTGATGAAGAAGCAGACATGTTAGCTAACTAGCCCAATGTCACAGAGTCATGTGATCCCAAAGCTGTGTTCCTAACCATTGTCATTTACTGACAGTTATGAAACATCTGGACTCATATTGTGCAAGGAACTATAAGTCCAATGATAACGATAAAAATGATAGTTGGGGCCGGCAGGTGGCATGTGGTTAAAGGCACTGAACTACCAAATGGCCAGCAGTGGTTCAAGTTCCAGACCTGACAGCTTGCCTTCTCACTCCCCTCCCCACCTCTCTCTCTGGTCAAATTTTAAAAATAATAATAATAGTAAATAAAGTTAAATTTTTTTTAATTTTTAAAAATAATAATAGTTTGTGGCAACATTTAATTAATATATTCTATCTTCAATTACTTTTCCTAAAGCTCCTATGAGTACTGTAAGTAAACACTTACAAAAGAAGAAACTGAAAATCAGCAAAGTGAAGCAACACTGGAAAATATACCAGGCCCTGGCATAGCCAAATTGTAAATAAATTACAATGATGCGGGTTTGTTAAATTATAACTGAACTTCTGAGTCTGCTGGTAGTGAGGGATACACTGCAGATCACATAGTGCACTGTGACGAATAGAAGCATGCCCTGTGGTTACCTGTATCTGCCAGGCTCTCTGCTGAACTGGTCCAAGGTCTGCCGGAAACTTCGGACAATGTCGTGCATTCCCACCTGTGTGGTGGTGAAGTCGTGGTACAGCTCGGAGTAGTTTGTGACCATGCCCTTTGAAAACCAGGACAGTACAGTTACTATCATTTCCCAGGTCACATGTGCATAGCTGGCTCTAGGTAAATACAGACCATCCCTTCAAAGGGCTCAGGCTGAGCAGACAAAAGCAGGCCTAAGACTTCTCTTCAGAGCTCAAGAAGTTTTGGGCATGGTGCAACCAGCAGTCAGCGTAATGGCTGGGTCGCTGGACTCCCACACAGTTGACCACATTATGAGTTCTGGATCCTGCAGCTTAAAATTCACACCAGGCACATGTGCATGCGTGCCCAAAATCCCAAGAGGAGAATGGAGGAGAAGGGATTGCGGCATGGCCATTACCCATGGGGGGTGATTTCTCGATTTCTGTCTCTTGTCTTTCTGGTGAGCCCATGCGCCCTATAGCAAAAACCTCTAAAAACAAAACAAAACAAAAAAACCCGCTGCACTTGAAGACCAGCAGATGGCATAATGGTTACCTCACTGGACTCCCACACAGTTGACCACATTATGAGTTCTGGATCCTGCAGCTTAAAATTCACACCAGGCACATGTGCATGCGTGCCCAAAATCCCAAGAGGAGAATGGAGGAGAAGGGATTGTGGTGTGGCCATCCTCCCTGGGGAGTGATTTCTTGCTTTCTGTCTCTCTGTCTCTATCTCTCTGGCAAGCATATGTGCTCTACAGCAAAAATCTCTCTTTTTTTAAAAAAACAGGAAAGGAAAACACACTGGGTATATGTGCATGTGGTGGGCGCGCCCAAAATTCCAAGAAGAGAATGGAAGAGAAGGGATTGTGGTGTGGCCATCCCCCTAAGGGGGTGATTTCTCACCTCCCCTCTCTCTCTGTCTTCAGTGAGCTCACATGCCCTATGACAAAAATCTAAAATACAAACAAAACAAACCATCTTAATGATTATGGAGTTCATTATAATATGTCTATTTTGTTTACTCCCCAAAATTTCAATATCATACATTTTAATTTATTTCTTTGCCATCTCTTTCCTTTATTCTTATTGTTATACTTTCTCAAGATTTTGGTAATTTTTATGATACTCATTTCTGTGCCCTCCTAGAATTACAAAAATCTACAAGCCAAGGTTGTAGGTCTTGGGATGGGATGTGGATTGACTCGACAGTCCAACCCTGAGCTGCAGTTTGTTCAAGAGACTCCCTTTTTTTTGTGGGGGTGAGAGGTTTTTGCTATAGGGTGCATACACTCGCCAGAAAGACAGAGATAGAGAGACAGAAAGCGAGATATCACCCCCCAGATGGCCACGCCGCAATCTCTTCTCATCCATTCTCCTCTCTTGGGCATGCACGCGCGGGCATGAGTTTAATCCACCTGGTCGGGGTAGACCGGTGAACCGTGGTCAACTACATGCGAGTCCAGCGACATAGCCACTACGCCAACTGCGGGTCCCTAGACTCCCTTTTTATAAGTGAACTTCCCTTGCTAAATCAAGTGAACATTTTTTTGAATCTTGAGTCTTTTCCTGAAATTGCATGTTCTTTAAGGTCTTCTTGAGTAGCACACAAAATCCATTGTTCTGATCATTTATCATGACTGCAAACATGTGCCTGCCTTGACATCTCCTTGTAATTAGCAAGGTCATTTCAGGATTTCTTCTCCAAGAGCAAACTCCTCTTCTTTGATACACCTAGCAAATATATCACCTTTTTTCCCTTAATTTTTTTTAATTCAAAAACGTGTAAAATTAAAATAAAAAGAATTGGCTTAATCATAACCTTTGTCATGACCTGCTCTTATAATTGTCCTATGCTTGGCCAGCTTCTCTTTAGTTAGTTAATTGATTCATTTTAATGAAATTATAAGTTCCCGTAAATCTACTATGGACCAAAAGGTAGAAGCTTGATAATAAACTAAACATATGGATTTCATTTTACTTCTTTAATTTCATTATAAAAGTATACAATAATCTTTTTCACCGAGCATTACATTGCTAAGATTCACCCATATTGCTATGTGTCACTATGATTTGCTTCTTTTGACTAATATATAACATTCTTGAGTGACTGTACAAATCCAGCATTTTGGAATACATTTTAGGGCCACTGTCTGCTAGGCCATTGAAAATAGAATGGCTGTAGGATGGTGGTCAACCAGAGGAATAGGATGGCATGTAAATACCAAGGCTTACGTGTGAGATGGGACAAGGCTGAAAACTCCAAGGGCTCATACCAGAATCCTGTCTATTGCTTCTGTGACCTTTGGTAAATTAATCTAAGATTTGCTTAATGGGGTTATAAAAACTCTCTCATTGCATATTGAGAGAGTTAAATGAGCTATCCTAAGTAAACAGCACATGGCATCCAATAGCCACTTCATCAAGAGTCAGTTCCCATCCTCCTGATTACATGTACTTTAACAACTACTGATAGAAAAGTGCCTGGGAGTTTAGTCCTCCTCACTCGAGGCTGAGTGAGATGACAAAATTGCAGTGAATAAATGACCTCCACTTTGGGCCCTTGGTATACTATCTATACTATCCATGTCTTCAGAACCCTTGTCATCGAAGGAACCCAGGGGAAGGAAACATCTGCATACGCTCCCCTGTGTTTCCTAAAGAAAATGATTCAAAGTATGTCCTTTAGATGGGACAGGCCTTATCTTCATCATTGGAATCTTAAGCTAAAAAAGATACATGAAGTGGGCTAGCAGCTGGCATGGTGGTTAACAACACTGGGTTCCCATGTGGCTGACTGCAGTTTGAGTCCTGGGCCCCGCAACTTAAAAATCTCATCAAATACATAAATAAATAAATGTTAAAATTAAAAGATACATGATCGCATATTTCCAAAAGATTTCTTTTTAAGTGAAAAATGAAACTTTACCAGAACTTCAGCCTTATTTACTTGGATCTCATCTCTCAGGTGCTTTGCTTCGAGAAGAAATTTGAGAGCATCAAAGCTGAAGCCATCAACACCCTTTGTGAGCCAGAACTGTAAGATATCCTAAACATGAAGAAACAAAATGCTTGGTCACATAAACAACATTATCATCATAATAGTGAATGAGGGTTTCGACTGTCAGTGACTTAACAATGTAAAGTGGAGATCTCTCCATACACAATGAGCCCAGCATTCATATTATCTACAATATATTTACCGATTTAGCATAGCTCACAGTATAATGAGCTCTGAAATAACTGCATTTAGGGACGTTCACACCGCCTTCGTATCTGAATTCAGAATCACAATTCGGTAACGTTTGCATGTCATGAGCATGTTTCCAGAGTTTAGAAATCTACTCAAAATGAAAGTTTCTCAGGAGAAACTAGCAGCGTGTGCATCTCCCTCATGCCCAGCTCTGTAAATGGTCACCCAGAACAGCAAGAAAACAACCAATTGTTCAATAGTTAAATATTCACTCCTTCCCAGGGAGACAAATGAGTTACGCGCTTAAGTATTAAAGGATTTCCTGTTAGGAATAAAATAGAAGGAACGAAAGACAAAACAAAATCAACCATCAACCAAGTAAATGATTAAGAAGAGTGAAGCTCTGGTGGTAAAACTCAGACGCAAGTATTGTCTTGAACCCTCCCAGATAATAAAAGATTAAGTGTATGTTATTCAAAAACAAGATATTATTCTACTATCTTTAATTTCACAAAGAAATTGATTCTGAGCTAAAACAGTTAAATCTAAAAGAAAAAAAAATGCAGGTTCTCACACATTTTATTCTTTGATAATAGAATTTCTTCCAAAGGTGTGTGATGGGGACCAAAGTGATTGTGAAGGTATCCTATACTTGGCTTTCTCTCCTTGCTGTCCCCATTTCAGACACTCCTTGTGGAAAAAGGGTTATCATTGCCTCCTCAGCACCCCTACTGCCTCCTCCCCACCCCACACCTCCCCCATAGAGAGAATGAGAGTGGCCTGCTCACTCCCCAGGCTTTTGGTTTTTTGGAGAAGTTTTTTTTTGCTATAGGGTGCGTGCGCTTGCCAGGGAGACAGAGGGAGACAGAGAGAGAAAGCGAGAAATCACCCCCCCAGGTGGATGGCCACGCCGCAATTCCTTCTCCTCCGTTCTCCTCTCGGGATCTTGGGCACACATGCATATGCACCTGGCGTGAGTTTAAGCCACCAGTTCGGGACTCAAACCACAGTTGACTACATGGGAGTCCAGTGACATAGCCATTACACCAATTGCTGGTCCCTCCAGGCATTACTTTTTATGAGAGATTTTTGCTATAGGGTATGTGCCCTTGCAGGAGAGACACAGAGAGACAAAGAGATAGAAAGTGAGAAATCGCCCCTCAGGAGGAGATGGCAATGCTGCAATCCCTTCTCCTTCATTCTCCTCTTAGGATTTTAGGCACACATGCACGCACACCCAGTGTGAGTTTTAAGTCATAGGGTCCAAGACTCAAACCATGGTTGACGACGTGGGAATCCAGCAACATAATCATGCCATCTGCTGATCCCTTCCCAGGCATTTTTACAAAGCTGGATCCAAAGACTAGGGAAAAGGGGCCAGCAGGAAGCATGGTGGTTAAGGTGCTGGATTCCCATTTGGTCAGTCAGGGTTCGAGTCCCAGACCCAGTGGCTTAAAAATCACATAAGTACATGCACATGCATGCCCAGAATCTCTAGCTGAGAATGGGAGGAGAAGGGATTGCGGCATGGCCATCCCCCTTGAGGGGTGATTTCTTATTTGCCTTCTATGTCTCTGGTGAACACATGCACCCTATGGCAAAAATCTGAAAAAAAAAAAAAAAAGATAGAAAAATTGAGTTGACAGGAGCGTGGTCTGGGGAAAGATTGGATAAGGGAAGTGGACCAAAAGTCTAGAGGCCTCCAGGGAAGAAGCTTGAGTAGAAGGAAGTAAGTGAGTGGAAGATGGGAGAGGAAGTGCTACGATGGGATTTCCTTTCATTCTAGACAGTCACAGGTGTAGCGCGGGCTTCTTAGGTTTGCAGCCTGTGAAGTCCCATTGGATCCCTGACTCAGAAGGGCCCTGTGTTTGGCTTAATGTTCTGGTTTCACTGTCTTAAAGTCCTTAATAATTTTGGGAAAAGAGACCTCGCATTTTCATCTTGTAGCTGGTCATTTACAGGAACAGAGAGGGATGAGGTGGGCTGGGAAAGGCTGGAAGTAATTTATCAATAGACTGAGGAGGAGCATTTCGTCAGGAAGGATAAGAAATGAGGGAGTGGGTGGTGATGGCTAAAGCATACATGGTTTCATTTTGGGATGATGAGATACTCTGCGAGCTTACTAATACTACCGAAAATGCACACTTTGGGTGAATTTTATGCTATGTGGCTTTTGATCGTTTCCCTTGGCTCTAACATAGCACCCATACTTGGCAAACCAATTATGGAGTGAAAGAATGAAGTATTGGGTTCGAATGAGTCAAGTACTATAAAGAAGTGTCACGTGTCCCCTGCCTTCAAGGAGTAGGCAGAATAGGTGGGACCCCGAGACGTGAGAGGGTTCCATAAGAACGCAAGTGAGAGTGCGCATTGACATCATGAGGGGAGACTGCTCTGTCCACAGGCCATCGGAGCTCTGAGAAGAGCAAACGAGCATGGGTGGGCACAGACAGAAAGAAGAGCTAGAGTTTGGATTCAGCTTGGATGGCCTGGTGGGATTTCATTAGGAGTCAGATCAGGACAGTTTGAGACAAGCATGAAAGCAAAGACTCACCTGACCTGTACTAGGACAGTTGAGAGGACCAGGTGACTTTGAAAAGCAGAGGGTGGAAGGCCATCAGGTGGCTTGGTGATTAGGACACTGGGCTCTCACATGGCCAACTGAGGCTTAACTCTCGAACCTAGTGGCTTGCTTTCTCACTGTTTCTCTCAGGTCAAATTTAAAAATAATAATAATAATAGGGATCAGCAGTTGGCGTAATGGCTGTATCGCTGGACTCCCATGTAGTCAACTGCAGTTCAAGTCCCAGACCTGGTGGCGTGGACTCACACCAGGCACATATGCATGCATGCCCAAGATCCTGAGAGGAGAATGGAGGAGAAGGGGTTGCGGCGTGACCATCCCCCCGGGGGGTGATTTCTCACTTTCTGTCTCTCTGTCACTCTCTGTCTTTCTGGCAAGCACGCACGCCTTATGGCAAAAACCTCTTCAAATAATAATAATAACAAAAATAATAAATAAAATGAAATAATTTGGTTCCAGCAGATGGTATAATGGGTACATGACTCCCACATAGTCTACCACAGTTCCAGTGACTTAAAACTCATACCGCACGCATGTGCATGCATGCCGAAAATCCTGAGAGGAGAGTGGGTTGCAGCATGGCCATCCCCCTTGGGGGATGATTTCTTGCTTTCTGTCTCTCTGGCAAGCACATACATCCTATAGTAAAAATCTCTCTAAAATAAAGAAAGAAATAATTCTTCCAAAAAATATAAAAAGTTAATCGTGCAAAAAAAAGGAAAAAGTTGAGACCCATGCAGCCCCTGCATCCCCCTGCTGCGGCCTCCAGACAGCACAGTAACTGCCGTGGCTTCCAGTGCTTTGGGGAAACCTCAGATGCGTGGCCTTCTGGCCGAGCGTCTGCGATTTCATGTTGTTGGAGCATTTACCGTATCCCTGAGTGTTGAAGCTTTTTCTAAGTTTGCTGTGACTGAACCAAGAAAGAAGGTATATGCAGATTCCTATGGAAATTATGATTGCAGGAAAGATTTTGAAGAGATGAAGAAGGCTGGCATCATTCGGAGTATAACTGATTTTGGAATGTAAAGATGTCATTGGATTGGTGCCATGTTCCTGAACTATGAAACATGAATACATGGGCTAAAAAATAGTTTTTCTTGATAAATAATTACTGTGGACAGTTTAAAAAAAAGTGCTGCGGGGGGC